ATTTGAAGAGTCAAATATGCTGTGCAAACTGCTGCAGTTTGACCTCAGGTGGAGTGCTCCCTGTTTTTTCTCAACATGTGTTTTTATTTCACTGTGTGTAGCCAATGGTCCCCTGACAGTTTATCAGTTGTGCACAGATCAGAGTGTAATGAGACTGCCAGAATTCCGCTTCCAGCAACTTGTGATGTTCATAGATGACTGAGCACTGGTGAAGGACAGATTTTGGGCATGGCTATTAAAAGCTTCACTAGTTGTTCTTGCCTGGTATTCTGTAGTTCTCTACAATCTCTGCCTCTACTGAGGAGTTAGCTTTCAAGAGCATTAGTGTTATAGGAATAAACAATTATTTTTAACACAAACATGCATGAATCTATACAAGGCATCATATAAAAACTAGTAAAAGTTTACTGAAACATCAGCATGAATGTTCATTTGAAAATTTGAAAGAATTAAAATATAAGTTAAAAACCAGAGCTAAAGCCCTGCTCTTGCAGTCAAGCAGTATTATACCATTTCAAATTGAATATGTTACTTGATAAACAATTATTTTTAACACAAAAATGCATGAATCTATACGAGGCATCATATAAAAACTAGTAAAAGTTTACTGAAACATCAGCATGAATGTTCATTTGAAAATTTGAAAGAATTAAAATATAAGTTAAAAACCAGAGCTAAAGCCCTGCTCTTGCAGTCAAGCAGTATTATACCATTTCAAATTGAATATGTTACTTGATTATTGCCTGAACGATAAACTATAAAAGGGGTACAGACAAGCCAAATCCCAAGTTTCTGTCAAATAACAGAGTAAAACACATGAATTATTTTGTTAAGTAAGAGAATAAATAATTATTTTGTAAATATGTAACATTTAGTGCAGTTAGTACCATCGTTGGTGTTAAATTGTGTTTCTGGAGCCATTATGCCTCATGATTCCAAGAAGTGAGTATGGCTTTTAGCTAGGAAGGGACCAGCAGGGTTATCTTAAAAATTGGGTTCAGAAGTTCTCTTTTTTATACATGAAAATGCTAAGCATGTACCTCGTGATATTAAATCTATATGGACAAGTAATGAAAGCCTTGTTATGAGAAGTTTTACTGTTATATCATTTTTTTTATTGTCTTAAGATGCTGTTCTCTTTGTTTCTCCTTTCCCACATTATTTCTACCACTACCCATTGTTTGACCCAATGACCTAACCTTTTGGGGTGGAATCTCGAATTCTCCTAGAGAATGCCACCTTATTCTAGTATTCCGGGTTTTTATAGTGCTCACAAAGTAAAGCAGCTTGTCTGTGGTATTGAAACCCTTTCCTCTGGAAATACATGACTGGATGGACTCTAGTATGCAAAAAATGGTCCTCTTAAAGTAAAAATGTTTTACATTTTTGTTAAAATTCTTGCATGCCACCTTGTGGTCCTTTCAGTTGGTAGTTAAAGAGGTGACAAAGAATAAGAAACACTGAAAGTCTCTGTTATGCTATGAAAATTGAATAGAATAGCTCAAAATTTCACAAGGAAATGAGCTGAGAATGACGATAGATTAATCACTCAAAGATACACTGAAAGTCACCCTAACGCTGAGCTGGAGAGGTAAGAGGAGAAGTTGACTTACAGAAGTACCAAAGAGCGGTATGGAAGGGGACCTCATGGGGCTAAGTTTTTCTCCTGCCCTTAGGTAGCATCAGCAATACCTATGTTATTCTTGGCAGATATTTAACTTCCATTGACAGAGACTCTAAATGGCCTTCCCAAGCCATCTGTTCTAGTGCTTTCCTATCTTTAATCATTTTTCTGAACACTTGATTCTTTTACTTAAAACCAATTAATCTTTAATGAACTAGTAATTATGGGGAGAAGAAAACTCTAATCTGTGTATTCCTTTTAACTTCAAGTTCAAGTGAAGCAATTTCAAGATCATACTTTGAAAACACATCTCTCTCTGTACGCTCAGTGGTGTGTTGCAATGACAACTGCAGGAATTGCTCCCCTACAGAGCAGCATTGGGAGTGTCAATAACTTTTTTTGTGTAAAAGTTAATGTTGCTAAGCAGATGGAAATTAGAAGGTAGCAAAAAGTGGTTACCACATCTCCAGGTCACTTATTCATGATCTAATTAGATTTGCTGCTTTTTGCATTAAACGCTGCTGTTTTGTCTTAACCTTGTTAGTTGTTTCCACTTCCCTGGGGTAAGCAGGTAACCTCCACCACCACCCTCCATAAACTGTGTTTCTTTTGTCCTGCTAACTCTGCAACAGCTGCCACAGCCCAGCTCACCCTCCTGTGCTCAGAACAGGATGGTTTTTGCACTGTGCGGAGGAGCAGGTACATCAGTCCAGCTGCTTCCCTGGGATGGGAGGATGCAGGAGCAGCCGGGAGGGAAGGGCAGCTCGGCTGCAGCCTCAGGAGCATGGATAACACACAGATGCTCTGCATTTTGCAGGGAGAAGCACCTACACTACCCGTGTTCTTGCATGGGAGTGGCTGCCACACACCAACATACCCTTTTTGAGGCAGAAGGAGAGCCACAACTGTGAGCTTGGTGAGGTCTCCAGCTGTGCAGAGCGGAGAGCATTTGATCTGGACAGCTTTTGCTGCTGAAACAACTGTCCTTGCCTAGATGGAAGACTGGTTGCCATTGGAGGGATTTAGACAACATACTACACATTCAGTTATGTTGATCTAGTTGTGAATTTATGCTTTCATCTTAATAATTTTTTTTTTTTTGAAGGATGGCTGAGCACAGAGGGAAATGTTATATTCCTGACAGTTGTCCATGCATGTGGAAAGACAGGGAATTTCTCTCAGGAGAAGTGATAGCTACACCATGTTACACCTGGTGAGTGACATGCATTTTGCATACTTCCAAATCATATGGAAACAAAGCCACAAAAGGAAATTGATACAGAGAACACCTTGGGTACACTGAGAATCAAAAATGTATATGCTTGTTTATAGCCAGTTACAGGATATCTTCTATTAGGTTCACTAATAGACTTGGAAGAGTAGATAGATTTTTGCGTGAGTGCTTCTTCAGGTCTGAAAAGGAAGCAGAAGATATCCAAATTAAAAAGCAGTCAAGAACAAATGCTTGATTCCACACATATCACTTAATCTCTGAAAGAAAAGGCATTTGGCATTTTGGAGAATAGAATATCATGAGAGAGAACCAAGGAGAAAAAAAGAAAAATTGAATGTATGACAGTGGTAAATAGACTGCTCCTTTGGGATGTGGACTGTTTGCAGTGTGAGTTACCAGTCAGCATGAGCGACTGCATAGGAAGAAGATGGGCAATAAAAAAAAAAAAAAAAAAAAAAAAAAAATTTTGAAAATGAGCTTAGCACCCAGCATGTCTTTAAGGAGCCTTACCTGACTCATATGGACGCAAAACAATTTGTTATCCATTATAATTTGCTAGCTAAAATAGTTATCTTCAGTTAAGTATATATTTAATAATAATAAAAATTTTGGCATGGCAGCTTTTAATCAGTTAAAAAGTTCATTGGTAAATCAACTGAGCTTATAAACTTACACAAGCAAAACTAGAGGCTGTCAGTACTACCTTCATACAAATTCATGTAAATCACTGAATGTAGCTGACAGGAAAAGCAATCCCACAAAATACAAGCATCTATTTCTTCAACTCATTCCATACTGAAATCTTACAGGTAGCAACTGGAGGTCTTTTGCATTGAATATGTGCAGATCTAAATCAAAATTTCTTGAGAAAAAATGTAATAATAATGTTTTATGAATGAGCATGTTGTGGCAAGGTGTCTTATCTATACTGAAGGCAGTGATGGAAATATTTGCATAAGCCATAAAAATGTTAAGATTTTGCATTCATTTCTTATGAATTTTTATTATACATATGTGCTGATGGCAAAATGTTCAACACTTTTCTGCCATGGCATCACCAATAACTTCAGAAGCAATCCACAGAACAGCTCTGTGTTTCAAGGTCTGAAAATTGTCTTCCGTTCATGAATTTCTGCATGACTTGAAATAAAGAACCTAAGAAAGCTTTTTCTTGAAAATAAAAAGAAAATTACCCTGCTATGAAAAGATACTGATTGTTAATTTTCCTTACAGTGTGTGTCGGAGAGGGATATTCAATTGCACTAGTTACCCCTGTCCTGCTGTATGCACTATTTATGGAGATCGACATTATTATACCTTTGATGGATTGGAGTATGATTTTGTCAGTGACTGCCAAGCTTACCTGCTAAAGGTAGGAGGATCGTTCATACATTTCCGTGTGTCCAAGTGAAAGTTTCCATGAGAGGGCAAGGATTTTGAACACGGGGAGATGTTCTATAGAAACAAACAGTAAGATACAGGCGCAGAACAGATGTGTCTGAAAGGAAGAATCTGTAAATGGCATGTCATGCTCAGCCATTTGAAAATGGTACATGGGTGTGTCCTTACGGATCTATGTGGTCTAGTGAAAAATAGAAAACAATGTTTTCTGTTCTACCTTAACCATGCTTTCATCACAATGAGAGAAGAATAATACTATAGACACTCTTCTAGAATTAGGTATAATCTATAGATTTATTTAATAATTATGTATAAACTCTGCTTGGCAGAGGGTTAGTGATGACCTCTGAGGCTGCTCAGAATCCTTCCTGAATGCGATCTGCATCAGATCTGGAGTGTATGTATATAATAATATCAAACACAATGATTTCATAATTCAACAATGAAATCCTTCATTGAGATTGTCTGGCAGCTGCATGCTAATGTTCCTCATAGCACACATTTACAGTACATTGCTAGCCTTTTTTGTTTAAAAATACCATTACTGATATTTAGAAGTATATTCTATTACTAACAACACTATTGTTTATTATCACTGTTGCTATTATTAAAGCTAAGAGTCTGTCTTCTGGGTTACAGCAATGTGTTTAGAAGAATATTCATTTTCGGTCAACCCTGACTGTCTAACCTTAAGAAAAAGCATGATTTCTCAGCAAGGACTACTGCAAATAGCTTATTTCTTGTATGCTTTAGTAGGGTATTCAAAGCTGTGAAATAAGATGGATTGGTTCCAGATTTTTTTCTCTCTTTAAAAAAAAAAAATTAGTAAAAGAGAGAGGTTTGGTAAAGATAGTAAGAATAACTCATAGCAAACTCCTGGCATGTATCTCATTGTCTCATAAAGGTGCTCTTACTCTTAGAGTTATACAAACCTGTGCACAAACCTTCATAGAATCATAGAATCCTTTAAGATGCAAAAAATAGGGGTTACTTTACCTGTAACATCATCTTGCCTCTATGATGAGGTGGAAAGGGGGGTTGTCATTTCTTAATTCTTATGCCATCCAGCCAGAGAGGCATGTAAGGCAAATCTGTGCTGCTTTTTCAAACTTTAGTATTATGCTGGCATGTTTTGCTTTTACAATCAAATGTCACTGGCCACTCTACTGGGTAAGAAAGTACCTATCTGGAAACAAACCATGGGGAGCACTTGGAGTCCAGGAATAAAGTTGGCAGCCACATAATTAAGGCATGTGGCACACTGCTGACAGGCCTTTCTTCAGGTGAATATTATGACAGAAATGACAAAAATGCTGCCTACATAGATCTGCTTTTCAGACTGTTCCGACTTTTTTCAGCTTTTCAAACTGTTTTTTTCCCCAAAATTAGCTAATGTGAGAAAGTATGGCCTAATTTGTTCATCATTTTTCTTTCCTCTTTAGTATATGGAAAACTTTCATGATCTATATTGAAGGGTTGTTTATTACAAATTAGGCACTGCATAATTATGTCTGGAACATATGATGTATCCGTGGGCTCATTTTTGCCTGTGAAATGTTTGGAGAAGTTTTAGGGGGAAAAAAAAAAAAGAAACAAAGGATGGGATCATATGGCAGATGCCCAAGAGCTTTGAGGGAACTACAATGCAGAACTGATGAACTATGTGATGTGCAATCCTGGAATCAGAGGAATGGAAGACGGCAGTATAACCAAATATTTTGAAAGGACTCCATGGCTGACTTTGGCAGGAACAGACCAATGTGTCTGATTTACATATGAAGGAACTTAACAGAAATTATAATAAAGAGAAATGACAGTTGGGGAAGAGTTGAACTCTTTTTTTTTTTTTTTTTTTTTTTTTTTTGGTAAAAGTAATTCCTGCATGATGAATCTTCTGAGTTATTCCGTGAAGACAATAATCTTATGGATGAGGATGATCAGATCAATATGTGTGTAATTTAGCTTAAAGAACTTCTGGAGACAGATTTCAACAAATATTTTATAGAGGCTAGTCTCTTATAGGACAAGAGTGAAGATTCTTTGAGACATGAATTAAAAGTTAGAAGTTAAAAGACAGGAATAAATGGCCTTTTTTTAGAACGGAGAAATCCCAGTGACATCCCACAGGGATCCACACGGAGAACTGCATTCAGCATCTTCAGAAACAATTTTGAAAAGGTAGTGTGAGGCTTGAGGTGGAGTGTGCTGATGGTAAGGAATCAGTCTGAACAGCAGAAACAAAGATGGACCACAAGAAGATCTTATGGCAGAAAACACTGCATGATAAAATGGAGGGTGAAATTCAACAATGACATAGGAAAATCAGTCAACAGAAAAAAATAACTGTAACTATGCTACCATGAAGATAGGCACTAAATTAGCTACTACTACACAGGAATGGAATTTTATGTGAGAAAAATATATGAAACAGATGTAATTGGCATCTTTCTAGTGGCAGCCTGAGTGATAATCCAGTGTCATCCATTCTCCACATATGCTTTTATTTGCATGTACACAATTACATCACAGTTCTACCAGATGCATATATGCAGTTTTACCACATAATGATGTGGTGCAGACATGATAGCATGATGAGGCTGCTCTGTTTTGAAATACACTCTGTTTGTTCCTAGAGCAGAGGTTCCCACAGTTGTCTCCTCATAATCATCCTCCCCTACATTGTGGCCAAGTGCAGTGACATTTTTTAATAGTAGTATCAAAGTAATATAATGAGTCTCCCTTGAGCTATTCTTTGTTCAGGAGGTATGCAAGACAACCCTGTCTCTTGTAGCCTCTTATCCAAATAAACAAACCAGATGAAAGGTGGGAAAGTATATGTAGTTGCAAAAGTTTAAATGCCTTGCCTAACACCTGTCCAGTACAGTCTTGCCACCTAAACCATGCTACCTGTTTTACAAACCAACTTTTATTTTTAAACTTAAATCATAGAAACATAGAATGGTTGGGCTTGGAAGGGACCTTTAAAGCTCATCTAGTCCACCATCCCTGCCATGGGGGGTATGTGCCATATGCTTCATGCTCCCCATCTGTAAGGTATTACAGAACAGATTCGATAGTTGCTAGCACACAATCCATTGACTTAATGGTAGTTCGCAGCGTTATTACGAGGCTGATTTTTACAGATAACTTAAAAGGCTCACCAAACACCTGAAATTGAAACAGCTGAAGTGGTTGTAATATTGCATACACAGCACTGTAATAACTTTTTCCTTTCCCTTTTACTAACCTTTTCCCTGTGAGAAGTGGACCACTTTGTCTCTGCTATCTTATTGACTCTAACCAAAGATGTTGTAGCAGTGCAATAAGGGAAATGCTAACGACAATAAATTTGTTGGCATATTAGTTCTTCCCAGACATAGAAGTCCAAGAGTTATAATCTGAAAACTGAATTATAATCTGAATCCCATGTTCCCAGTGGCACGATAATGCACTGTTCCCATCCGTGTTACCAGCCCCCACTGCTTGATTTGGCTGTTAGCCTCCATAAATGTGATCTGTATGAACAGCTCTTTAATTTGTCACTGTATCACACGGGACAAAACAAAGAAGCAATCCTTACCTTTGACTATATTTTTAATAAGGAGCTCTTGTGCTCTTATGGGAGAAAATTCAAGTATCAACTTCCAGCCAATTATAAAACTTCAAACTTTGTTTTCAACTTCATGATCATCTGTCAGGCCTTTTTGTTTAAGGTGACAGTAGGTGTATGAAAAAGCCCTTTATAACTAGTTGGACAGATATATTCATTGGTCAGAAAATTATCAAAAAGCTTTAATGCAGCAATTAAGAAAATTAGAGCAGTAATGTCTCATGAAAAGACAACTTAATCTTTTTCAAGGAATTAGGAGTTACATTACACACTGAGAAGTAAAGTCCCTGTATGTATAAGTGACATTCACAGGGAAGACATCAATATGTACTTCTAAAATTTTAAAACCTCAGTAATTTCAAAGGAAAAAAAGAAAAATCTTAGCCAAACAACTAATTTAAGTTTTATCAGTGTAGATCATGTAAACACTTCATTTTAGCTAATCTGAATATTGATGAATTTAAGCCAAAGAATTTCTTAATTAAAAAGATTTATATAGCTTGCTTGCTTCCATTTTCTTGCTTATTCTTCTGTATTTGATGATGCT